GGGGGGGGGCTCTGCAATTTACCTGGCTGCTTCTTGCTCTGACTGAGGGCTGCTGGGAGCAGGGGATGGGCCTTGTTGCATGTGCCCGCCCCCTGGGCTCCTTACTGCTGGAGCTCTGCTCCTGTGCGCTCCCGCAGAAAATGACCCCTGCGGCCTTCTCTAAGCTGTTTGTTTCCTACACACAATTCCAGCCGCTTTCACTCTTCTCTGCCCCCAAACACCCCCCTCCTTGCTGACTTATTTATTTAGATATTAAAAATATCTGTTGAGACTCTGCTATACACAGAGTTGGCTCTTTACTTTGGGGAAGAGAAGTTTTAGGGTAGAAGCAAGTGGAAACCGGGAACAGGGTGCCATACTGGGGAGGATCTGCTCACCCTAGGATGAGAGATTCTTGGATATTTAGGAGGGTGGAGCCTGGGGAGGGCAGGGTTTGGGGATGTGAGGGACCTCAACAAGTTATAATGCCTTCCAAAGCAGCCATTTTCTCCAGGGCAACTGATCTCTGTCGTCTGGAGATCAGCTGAAATTCTGGGAGTTTTTCAGGCCTCACCTAGAGCTTGGCAACCCTGGATACAGACACTCAGTGTTCCCTCTCAGCTGAGTCAGTGTGAGCTAGCTCACAGTTTTTTAGCCTCCAGCTCACAGATTTTTGTCTTAGCTCAGGAAGGATGGCTACAGAGCAAAATAATTTATGCAGCAGCCAAATCGCTCACTCACTTTAACCACCAGTGTACCACCAACGCACCAGTGTACCACCAACGCCCCATAATTTCTGTATATGGACATCAGGATGTGGGCATGTACCACCATAATTTGTGAGAACGGGACGTTTAGGGGACGGTCATCTTGCTTTTAGTAAGTGTAACTTTGGAATTGGTTCAGAGGAGCACCAAAATTGTTTATTAACTGTGATGTATTTTTGATATTTTGAACTGTTTTATTGTTTTATTCGGCAATATGCCTGTTAGCCGCCCTGAGCCTTCGGGGAGGGCGGGATAGAAATGTAAATAATAAATAAATAAATAAATAAATGCCAGTAGCTCACAAAATATAATTTTTGCTCACAAGCCTCCACAGGTTAGAGGGAGCATTGCGCTAAGCTGCACTATATGTGGGATTTCCGCTCTCAGTGTTGCCTAAAAACTAGTCATGAGGGTTTCCAGTTTGGATCAGGAAGGGGGATTTTTATCCTCCTTCTGTACCATTTTCCTGAAAATCACCCCTGTCGTACGAGTGATGTTCAGTTCTACAAGGAGGAAATTAATCTACGAGAAGAGATCACAAGTCTGCAACCTTAAAGCAATGCAATGACTTCTTTCTGTCCCAAAGGGGAAAGATCCAACTGATTGTGGCAAACTCTGGGCTCTTGTCTGATGAGTTGATTGAGATGTTGACGAGTTACGTTTGTCCTTTTCTCACAGTGACATCTTTGACGCCATGTTCCCTGTCACTCACATTGCTGGGGAGACTGTCATACAGCAGGGTAAGTAAAGACCATTTCCTGACATTGGCAAGTGTGAAATGCAGAAGCTCCTTGAGTGTCCCTGCATGGTGCCGGAATTATGCATTTGGCCTCCAGATGTAGGCTTCTGTGCCCATCTTCTGCAAAGTGGGGATGGGGTGTGTGCACACCCTCTAGTTGGGAAATGTTGGCAAAGGAAAGGCACTCAACCTTCCTTCCGTTGTCTGCCATTGGCCACCTCCCCTCCCTGTTTTTCACCAGTTGGGGTTCCATTTCCCCCCTCTATTCCAAATCTGGGCTAGGAAAACTGGTGTCGCATCAATGGCATGTGGCATTGTGGTGGAACGGGTCTGCTCTGGCCTGCAGGCCCTGTTCCACCCCATCCTCCAAGATTTTCCCAACACCTGGAGAGGATTTACTTTCTCTCCAGTAACCTGCCACCACCACCTGACCTCTGTAAGGAATTGCCTGCTGAGAGGGTCAGGACTTCCAGCTTCCCTTCCAAGATCTGAGGCCTTGTCTCTGTGTCTCCTGCTGCTCAGCGCCTGGTCACCACGGGGACAGTTTACTGCCTTGTGTGCCCTTGGAGGAATAGCCACTTGCCAACTGTCTGCCTTCCCCCTGGTTCCTCTTTTAAAATAGTGTGTCTGAGATAGTGGAGGTCTATGTGGTACAGAAAACCACTGACAGCATCCAAGGTTATAAAATATTTATTCAAAAGAAAATGTTCACAACCCTGCTTTTAGCACAGCACCAGACTGAGGAAGGGATTCCAAAAGAGATGAGTAAAATGCAAATCCTCTGTCCCTCTCTCTATACGTGCCATATCAGATGTTAAAATAGGACAGACTCCTTCGAGAACATATCAGACTCCTAAAGCTTAGCAAGTTACAGATCTCTAGAAATCACCATTACCTTGAAGCTTTCTGTAGCTCTCTGGGGCAAGACATGGTCAAAATGGCTGCCTCCTCATTTAAGAGCTCTGTCTGAATTAATGGACTCCACACCAACCAAAAAGCCCTTCTTCCTTGCTCCTCTGAGTTTTATCACCTCTCTTCTCCCCACCCACTGACCAGGTCAAGCCAGGTCAGAGAAGTGTTTCCTGCAGCTTCTTTCTGGAGATTATCCCTGGAGCTTCTGTAGTCTAAATTCCTCCAAATTTCTGTTCCCTGCTTAGAGAAGGGGAGGAGAACTTGACCCCCCCCCATTATCTCTCCTGCTAGATTTATTAGCATTTCTTAAGAGGTAGCTGAGGTGAGCCTGGAAAGCCATTGGGTGACCTCCCCCTACTGTCTTGCTCTTTGCCCAGAAGAATTTTTTTTAAAACTCAGAGTAGAGGTTTTGCTCATTTCAAACCTCCAAAGAAAAAAAATCTATTTCTTCACAGGCAGTGACATTTCCCACTGTGCACCCCAAATCACAGCTCATCCCACCCAGCATATCCTGCTGCCTGTTCTGTTTAGTTGCGGGGAGCAAAAGTGGCCCTGCCCAAGTGGCGGATCGGGTGGAGATCAATGGGTTTCCCAAATCAAGCTGGAGAACAGTGGAAGCACGGGGGTCCCCAACGTGGTCCCCCGTGGGCACCGTGGTGCACACCAGTACTTCTCTTGCTGCTGCTGCTGAGCTTTTGACTCAGGCCCGTAACTATGGTGGGGCTCCTTGGGGCCCGGCCCCCTAACTTAGTGCCAGCCCCCCCCACTTACTGCCAGGAGGCCGCCGGCTCTCCCCTCCTCTGCGTGCCTCCCCTCCCCCGAGGCACTCGGTGGGCATGGGGCACGAGAAGGAGCCCAAGAAGTCGAAGCGGGACCCCTGCTGTAGTATTTCTGTCTCTATGTTAATCACCTCTCCCTGCATTCATTTCCCACCCCCAAATCTCAATGCTGCCTCTCATTGGAGGGGGTCATGTTGGTAGGTGTGGACACATTCAATTTCTTTAAAAAAAAAATTGGTTTACAGCGTCCAGAGAAGCAGAAGATTTTTCTGGTATGCCAGCATCTTAAGCAGTCATCTTACATCAAAGGTTGGGGGTAAAATGGAGGGGTAGAGTTGCCGGGTACGCCATGGTGGGGCATTGGTGGGGACTTACCAGCATCAAACTGAGGCCTAGATTTCTGTTGTCAGTGATGCAGCAACATCACATCTGAAACTGGAAGTGACGTTATCATGTCAGTGGCGATGTGGGGATGCTCTGGTATTTGAGTAGAAGCCATTTTTAGCACAGAGATTTTTTTATCCAAAGACCAGAGCAACCACATGGTGCCAGTGAGATGATGACATCGCTTCCGGTGCATGCCGGAAGTGATATCACTGTATCGCTGGTAACAGAGGCCTGGACCTCAGTTTGCTTCTGGTAAGTCCCCTGCTGGCCAGCTGATTGGCGCCAGTTAGGCTTGCCAAGTCCCCCTGGGGCCTGGGGTACCTCCCCAGAGGCCCGTTCCCTGCCGGTGGTGGATCGGGCCCCGGGGGGAGCCCCACCCCGACGTGCGCGTCACCCGCTCTATGGTTTTCCCTCGGATGGTCGTGGCCCTGCCCCCAGCATGCCCAGCGTCGTCACGTCACTTCTGGGTGGCGCGCGCGCTCCAGCCGCAAGCCGGGAGTCCCCTGCTGCAGTGCAACGCCGGACTTGGCAACCCTAGCGCCAGTGGCTGATGAGAGAAGGGAACAGTGACTGATGAGAGAGGGTTTTTTGCTGGCCACCCGTCTTTCACTGGGTATTTCCCCTTCCTTGCTCCATTTTGTAGAACAGCCGTGGTGGGAGACTGTGAAAGAGGCTGAGTGGAGCTGGAACATGTAATTTCACTTCTTACAGTGCTACCTTAAGCATCCTTTGCTGGGAGTAAAGTCCCACTGATTAGGCCGAAGTAGGATTCTGAGCAGACCTCCTTAGGATCGCCATCTCCCAGTGCCTTTTGGAAACAGTTTTGAGAACTGCCAACCAATGCTCCCTCTAAGCCATGGAGTCTTGTGAGCAAAAACTCTACTTTGTGAGCTCCTGGCATTAAAGTTGTGAGTGAGGGATTTAGCTGCTGCAGAAATTCATTTGCTCCGGAGCCATCCTTCCTGAGCTAAGGCAAGAATGTGTGAGCTGGAGGCTGAAAAACTGTGAGCTGGCTCACACTAACTCAGCTTAGAGGGAACACTGCTGCCAACACTTACCAGTGCTCTCCGTTTATTTACAGGCGACGAAGGAGACAACTTCTATGTGATCGATCAAGGAGAAGTGGATGTAAGTTGGAAGTCTCTTCCCTCCTCAAAGAAGTTCTCGGTTCCTCCTCCCCCCCCCAATCTTAATCACGCTGCCTTCATCAAGAGTCTCCTGTTTATTTGATCAGACATTAGGATGGTAGACTTGCTCAGATCTTCGAAGCTAAGCAGGGTCGGTCCTGGCAGATGGGAAACTGCTGAGGAAGTCCAGGGTGGTTATGCAGAGGCAGGCAATGTTAATCCACCTCTGTTCATCTCTGGCCTTGAAAATCTCCATGTGTTGGCTGCAATGTCATGGCGCTTTCCCCCACCATACCTATATTTTATTTATTTATTTATTTACTCCATCTATTCCTTTATTTATTTTATTTATACCCCATCTTTCTCTGCACTGTGGACCCAAAGGACCGTACCTCATTTCCCTCTCCTGCTCCATTTTGTCCTCTCAACAGCCCTGTGAGGTGGGCTTGGCTGAGAGTGCGTGACTGGCCCAAGGCCACCCAGCCAGCTTCCATGGCAGAGTGGGGATTTGAACCTGGGCCTCCCAGATCCTACATATATAAAAGCTTAGCTCAGCCCCCTCCCATATTAGCTGCAGACTGAGCGTCCGCATGACCATTCCTACCGTAGCCACCCTGCATCTGAACCAGATCAAAACTGGTTTATTTGATTCAGTTTAAAGGGGGAAGCCCCGGGAGCCTAAGTCTTGCTTCGAATGAGCTTGATGTCGTCTGGATGATCTGCGTTGGGGGCGAGGCGGGACATGGTGTGGAAGCAGCCATCGAATGTTTTCATTCAAACAATGTTTCTATTGTAGCTTTTGGGGTTTGCCTCCATCTCCAGCTTTTGGTGTGGCCCCTATTCCCCTTTGGTGATCGACCTAGTCGCAAAAGTTAAAATGGCTCTGTTGGGGACATTGGACTTCTGTGATACAAGGGGAAGATTCCACCACCTTCGGTGTATGAAATTAATTGATCTGGGGAAGGGGGGATATTCCTCTTTGAGTCGATATATTTGAGCCTGTGCGCAGTACTAGATTAATTGCTCTAGGGAAGGGGGGAACTTAAGGGGAGGTGGTGAATGCTCCTTCGCTGGACATTTTCAAGCGGAGGCTGGACGACCATCTTTCGGGTATGTTGTAGGGCTATCTTTCGGCTATGCTCCTGCAGAGTGCAGGGGATTGGACTAGATGACCTGCAAGGTCCCTTCCAACTCTGACATTCTATGATTCCTCTTTAAGTCGAGATATTTGAGCCTGCGCCCTTTATAGCATTCCTTTGCCCTCTCCATCCATCTCAGGTTTTTCAAAAGCAGAAGTACCGTTCCTCTGTGACGATTTCTAGAGAGGCTTGATCCGAATTAGAAGCTTTGGGGCGAAGTAGACCTCGCAAGGATTCCACATGGTGCGGTTGTGAGCCAAAACTTATTTGTCCGTATAAAGGAGGTTAATTTGGTATCATAAGCAAAACAAATTATTTTAGGTTTAGAAGCGCATTAACCGCCCCTGTAGGCAAACAGCTTGCCACTGAACTAGCAAGGTGGAAGGCGATCAAGATGGAATGTGCCCAAGGGAGGCCGCCTGGGAAACCAGAGGAGGCTGCATTCTTTAATCGCCCAGGTTAGCTTACGTGTAATTCGTGTTTTAGAGAGAGAGAAAGAGAGAAGACCCCTCCGGCTAATGGTTTCGTCTTCAGAAAATTGCCTTTTCAAAAATCCTCTGAATGAGTGTGGGTGCCGCTTTCAGGGGGAAGAGTGCAATGAAGCATAGATATGAGATTTAACTCTCACTTGGGTAACACCGAGTGTACGAAACTTTTTACCTCTGCTACGAGAGGAGAAGCTAGGGTTGCCAGCAGTGTTCCCTCTAAGCTGAGTTAGTGTGAACTAGCTCACAGTTTTTTTAGCCTCCAGCTCACACATTTTTGTCTTAGCTCAGGAAGGATGGCTCCAGAGCAAACTAATTTATGCAGTAGCCAAATCGCTCGTTTACAACTTTAATGCCAGTAGCTCACAGAGGCCCTGTTCACACGGAAGATTTGCCACACTAAAGACATGAATGTTAGGTGGATTTTCGGTGCGCGATCACACCACAACATCTGGGAAGCGTAGCGCACCCGTAGCCAACCCGTGGCGTCCCACTGAAGATGCGCAGTAAAAAACTACCTCGGAAAGGGCAGTAATATCTAGAAAACGTACGGCAGGGACAGGCGTCTGATCGTGGGAGTGCTAGTATCCCATGGCTTCTGGCACCCGTCCACATCCCGTCGTGAACCGGATGGTTTTCCTAAGCACATGTGCACAAACATGAAGCTGAAAGCAGTGCTGCTTTGCAGAACTGCGCATGTGCACAAACATGAAACGCTTGCCGCGCCGCTTCTTTGCCATGCTCCAGCATCGCCGTGTGATCGCGAGCTTACTGCCAATGCGTGAAGACTCGGGAGACCTTGTGATCGGGCTACCACGGTTTATTTTGCTCTGGGGCAAACAGCCACGTCCCCTCCGGCATTATCTGGCCCGTGTGACCGGGGCCAGAGTAGAATTTTTTCTCACAAGATTCCACAGCTTAGAGGGAACATTGGTTGTTGCCAGTCTCCAGTTGGGGACAGGGGATCCCGCTGTTTTGTGGGTTCTTGCCTGCTTCCGGCCAGGTGGCCAGCAGGAGGAACACCCCCCCCCCAGCAACGTGGAGTGACGTGTCCACTTCACCCGGAAGTGATGTAGTCAAGTTGGTGATATCGGAGGGGAGACGCTCTGGTTTTGGGGCAGAATTCTACGGTTTGAGGGCGATTTTACCACAGAGTTTTGCCAAAAAAACCCAACATTTATTTAGTTAATTAATTTATACCCCGCCCTCCCCGTCAAAGCGGGCTCAGGGCTGTTTACAGATATTTCATAAAAATATGATTAAAACCTATCATAACATATAATCATAAACATAAAATACCAGTCATTTAAAATACAACTAAAATGCTGAAACGCTTCCAGATGACATAGGCACGGCATGCAACACCACTTCTGGTGATGTCAGCATGTCGGGGGCGATGCTTTGGGCTCCTGGAGCATCCCCCCACCCCCTTGCCAGCATCTCGAAGGGACCCGACAACCATAGAAGAAGGTCAGGTGGATGCAGGGTCGTGGTGGCCAATTCAGTTTTTTTAAAAACACTAGCTGTTTTCCAAATGAAGGACTCTTACAGTGCCATCCTAAGCAGAGGTACATCCTTCTGTCCTGGGCTTAAAAAAGGTGTCAACTCTGCCTAGGATGGATTTAGGTGGGTAGCTGTGTTGGTCTGAAGCAACAGAACAGAGTTTGAGTCCAGGGGCGCCTTTAAGACCAACCAAGTTTAATTCTGGGCATAAGCTTTGTTGGTCTTAAAGGTGCCCCTGGACTCAAACTTTGTTCGGCTTAGGATAGTTTCAGAGGGTGGCCATGTTGGACTGCAGTCGAAGAGCAAGATTCGAGTCCATTTTTCGGGGTATAAGCTTTTTCAAGAGTCCAAGCTCCCTTCGTCAGATACCAATGCTTAGGATGGCACTGTTAATAGCTGATAGATTAAACAGTCAATCACACAACGGAATCTTCATAAGAGTTGAAACCCTCTGCCCACTAAAGGTGCTCCATGGTGGGGAGGGGCTGTGGCTCAGTGGAAGAGCATCTGCTTGGCAAACAGAAGGTCCCAGGTTCGATCCCCAGCATCTCCAGTTAGAAGGACCAGGCAGGTGATGTGAAAGACCTCTACCTGAGACCCTGGAGAGCTGTAAAGAGGGGCTGTGGCTCAATGGGAGAGCATCTGCTTGGTGTGAAGAAGGCCCCAGGTTCAATCCCTGGCATCTCCAGTTAAAAGGACCAGGCAGGAGGTGATGGGAAAGACCTCTGCCTGAGACCCTGGAGAGCTGTAAAGAGGGGCTGTGGCTAAATGGGAGAGCATCTGCTTGGCATGCAGAAGGTCCCAGGTTCAGTCCCCGGGCTCACCAGTTAAAAGGACCGGGCAGTAGGTGATGTGAAAGGCCCTCTGCCTGAGACCCTGGAGAGCCGCTGCCCTTCTGAGTATACTGACCTTGATGGACCGAGGGTCTGATTCAGTAGAAGGCAGCTTTATGTGTGTTTGTGTGTGAGACCCTCAGGAAACCAAGGGATATGGTATGAGGGGAGGAGGTAAATAAACCATCCTTTGTGTGGGTTCTTACTTGATTGGCACCAGAATTCACACAAGAGCAGAGGAGCAACTTCTGCTGATCAGTCCCTCCATCTTGGATGCACAGAGCCTCCAATTCCCTCCTCCCCGTCTGCCTATCCCAGGCCATTTGCTTGGGTCTGCTCGGACTTGGAACCTGCGTTTTGGAGCTTGAACACATGAAGCTGCCTTCTACTGAATCAAACCATCGGTCTATCAAGGTCAGTATTGTCTACTCAGACTGGCAGCGGCTCTCCAGGGGTCTCAAGGGTCCTTTGTAACTGGAGACCTTCAGGGATCCCTTTCATTAAATTTTCATTCACAGTTCCTTCGGGCTATAGTTCCTTGGGTTGTGGATGATGCCTCCAGGTATTGTAGCAAGTATAATCTTAGATGAAAGATCTAAGGAAAAGGGAAATGCTTCTTCGAGGGTGGTCAGGTCCCCCCCTCCCCCGTCTGCTGTCAGTGGAATGAGCTGGTAGGGTTGCCAGAGCCAGGTCGGGAAGCTCCTGGAGATTTGGGGATGGAGCCTGGGGAGGACAGGGACCTCAGTGGGGTACACAGTGCCATAGGGCCCACCCTCTAAAGTCTCAATTTTCTCCAGGGGAACTGATCTCCATAGTCTAGCGAAGCGCTCCAGGTCCCACCTGGAGGCTGGCATCCCTGACTTCTTCTCAGATGGCCCTCCCTGCCCCCAGTTTTCATAATTATTTGTATTTACAGGTTTTTCGGTTGTTGTTGTTTTTAAATCTGCTGCCCGATTCTTATTTTGCAGCCTTTTAGTCATTTGGGAAAGTTTAAGTATTTGGAAAAGTCATTTGAAAAAGTTTATAAATTCAAATTATAAA